CGCCGAGCAGGGAGCCCGATGCGGGGCTCGATCCCAGGACCCTGGGATCATGACCTGAGCCGAAGGCAGACGCTTGACGACTGAGCCACCCAGGCACCCCGCCAAGGAGATTTTATACACGCCATCCCATGTAACTTCCACGGCAACTTGGTGCGGTAGAAGCAGCAGGAATTGTATGTTCATTGCTTCATCCCCAGCACCTAGAACAATGTCGGACATGCAGAGGTGCTCAATAAAGATCTGTGGAATGGAAGAATGAATCCCCATTTTGTAGACGAGGGAATCAAGAGTGAGAGAGGGTAACTGTAGGGCTGAGGCCAAGCGGTGTCACAGTGGGCGTGTTCCATCAGTCTAGTCCAGAGTCACCACAAACAAACAAGTCTGGGTAATGTGGTGCTTACTACGTGTAGCCTCCAAATGAGTCCCAACCAGAATGCCACCCTGCCGGGCTTCCGATACAGAAATTCGGGGGTTGCTGCTGGCCCCGTGACTTGCTCCAGGTGACACAACTAATGAGGACCAAATCCGCAACGCCCTCCAAGTCCGCGACACCCTCCAAGTCCGCGGAACTCACAGCTACAGATTGTTTTCCCATGACAAGCCCAGACTCCTCGGCTCTGACACTGACAATATCCTTTTTGGTGAAAGAGAGCAACTCATCTTCAAAAACATTTTAAATTTCTTGTTCAAGCCTTTTTTTTTTTTTTTAAATCGGGATAAACTGTCAATTAACCCCAATCTCTTCCCGCTAAGGCACTGGAATCAGTGAATGTTCCTGTCACTCACTGTAACCCTGCTACGGGCCCCTAGTGTTTGCGCCTCACTACGTGATGAGATCTGAGCAATTTGGAGCAGAAGAGGAAGAGCGGCACATCTGGCTTGCCAAATGCATCCAACACATGGTTTTCTTCCACATCTGCTTTGAAGAAGCCAGCCGCTCTGACGAGGTGCATTTGGAAAAAGGAATCATTGAATTTTACACTTTCTTTCCCTAAAGCAAAGGCAATAGTTTCCATTTTGACTTGGAGCAAGGCGCACAGGAAATTACTTCATTTCTAAAGCATGACCAAACCCCAATTTCATTGTCTTTTTTTTTTTTTTAAAGGTTTTATTTATTTGACAGAGAGAAAGACAGCCAGAGAGGGAACACAGGCAGGGGGAGTGGGAGAGGGAGAAGCAGGC